AAAAACCCTGATCTGTCCTATTTTTGCTGCTGACTTATGTTAAAAGCGTCCTCCTCTCCCCCTCTGGTTGCAGAATGATGACGAAGACTTTAATTATGTGATTGCCTTCTTCCTGGGCACGGCGGCCTGTCTGTACCAGGTAAGCGATGGCCGGCTGCACTTCTCACGTCAGCAGCTTGTCAGAAAGACGAACATTAGCCGGAGCATTTCCTCCTCCTCCAGCTTTTTTCCTTTCCAATCCGATCCGATCCCGGCCTATCACAGCGTGTGTTAAAGTTTAAAGTTATTTATCTACTTACTTAGCTGTCAGACTCATGTTGAACAGGGATTTACTCTGATAACAACTTAATGGTTAGGACACAGACCTGTGGGTTACAGATGCTAATGCTAATGCTCGTGAAACTGGATCTGGAGTCTGGATCTGCATTTTTTGGGGGAATATCGGCGGTCCTGATCTGATCCAGATATGGGATCGGGACCGGCCTATTTCAGCCCATCTGTTTTCAGCCTGTGTTCTCCTGTTTTCAGCCTGTGTTCAGCCTGTGTTCAGCCTGTGTTCAGCCTGTGTTCAGCCTGTTTTCAGCCTGTGTTCAGCCTGTGTTCAGCCTGTTTTCAGCCGGTTTTCAGCCTGTGTTCAGCCTGTGTTCAGCCTGTGTTCAGCCTGTTCAGACTGTGTTCAGCCTGTCCTGATCTGATCTAGATATGGGATCGGGACCGGCCTACTTCAGCCTGTGTGTTCAGCCTGTGTGTTCAGTTAGCATAACGTATATAACGTTAGCATCAGCTAACATTAGCCGCTTGTCCATTTGCACTTCTACCCTCTAAATCCACCTCTATCCAGAAGAATGTTTAAAGGATTTTCTGTGTTTTATGGTGAGGATGCGCCTGTGTGTTCAGCCTGTGTTCAGCCTATTTTCAGACTGTGTTCAGCCTGTGTTCAGCCTGTGTTCAGCCTGTTTTCAGCCTGTGTTCAGACTGTGTTCAGCCTGTTTTCAGCCTGTTTTCAGACTGTGTTCAGCCTGTTTTCAGCCTGTGTTCAGCCTGTTTTCAGACTGTGTTCAGCCTGTGTTTTCAGCCCGTGTGTGTTCAGCCCGTGTGTTCAGCCTGTGTGTTCAGTTAGCATAACGTATATAGCATCAGCTAACATTAGCCGCTTGTCCATTTGCACTTCTACCCTCTAAATCCACTAAATCCACCTCCATCCACAAAAATGTTTAAAGGATTTTCTGTATTTTATGGTGAGGAGATGCGCCTGTGTGTTCAGCCTGTGTTCAGCCTGTGTTCAGACTGTGTTCAGCCTGTGTGTTCAGTTAGCATAACGTATATAACGTTAGCATCAGCTAACATTAGCCGCTTGTCCAATTGCACTTCTACCCACTAAATCCACTAAATCCTACTCTATCCAGAAAAATGTTTAAAGGATTTTCTGTGTTTTATGGTGAGGAGATGCACCTGTGTTTCCAGCCTGTGTGTGTTCAGCCTTTGTTTTCAGACTTTGTTTTCAGCCTGTTTTCAGCCTGTGTTTTCAGACTGTGTTCAGCCTGCTTGTCCATTTGCACTTCTACCCTCTAAATCCACTAAATCCACCTCTATCCACAAAAATGTTTAAAGGATTTTCTGTGTTTTATGGTGAGGAAATGCACCTGTGTTTTCAGACTGTGTTCAGCCTGTGTTTTCAGCCTGTGTTCAGCCCGTGTTCAGCCTGTGTTCAGCCTGTTTCCAGCCTGTGTGTGTTCAGCCTGTGTTCAGCCTGTGTGTGTTTTCAGCCTGTGTGTTTCCATCCCGTGTTCTCCTCCCAGTGCTTCCTGTTCGCCCGGTTCTCGGTGTGGCGCAGCAGCAAGTCCCTGCTGGCCCTGGCCCTGGT